ATATATTGATCGAGTATACTCTGTGAAGAGGAGGGCCGCCCGATGCTATTTCCTCCTTTCATGTACATGTAGGAAGTGGCAGTGATGTGCAAATGGACTAGCTTCTGTCTGTAATAAGGCACAGTATTACCTTGGCCTGAAGAGCAGATGGAAAGCAGGGGTGGTAGGGCCCTGAGATCATTCTTGATTACTATGGCTCTCTCAGGAGGTAATACCTGGTTGGTATTATTCCGTTTTAATTTATTTTGAAGAACAAAAATGAAAACATTAAAAAATAAAAATCATAAAGGACATGTACTGACAGAGTAACTCTTCTCAGTACATTCTGTGTGTTTAAGTGATCACAAAATCCCCACAAAAACAGAAATCCAGGCCAGAAACTGTAGATTCTCGTTAAGAAAATCACAGGCCATGGAGACAGTGCTTGGCCATCAGTTTCAATGGAGGAGGCCTGGGTGTTCACTTATCATAAGCTCATATGAGCCAACAATATGCTGTGGGCTGTTCCACATTAAGGACATCTGGAGAAACATTTTTATTATTATTTTTTCCATTATGAAACTAACTTTGAAAATAATAAAGCAGACTCAGAGGAGGTTGGCCGGATATTGAACCTGGAATCGTAGAAGATGAATGGCTAACACAGGGCAGCAGAGGCACATGTATATTACAGCCAGTAGCTCCGAAAGATGAGTCCTCAGAGCTGGTGGGGGACAGGGAGAAGTGGACTGTGACTCACATGTCCCTGATAGAATGGGTGATTGCTCGGCTTCCATGAGGAAATGCTGGGCCATGATTGCTCATGTTTCTAATTTTTTCCAAGGGAGTTGGAGATTTAGAGTTTTATTTACCATATACCAATGTAAAATATTGTTTTGTGCATCAATCAGGACAGAGATGTAGGATGTGCTCGGTGTAACCAGGCAGTTTATAATACATAGACTAATGAAAAGTTTGTGGTTTCACTTAGACTACAGCAGGAACAGTCCCATTAAGGTAAAATGAATTGTTTTTAGGGCATCAACCAGAAAGTGAAATAATTAGACTTCAAATCTGTGTCTCTTGAAGTGAGTTCCTTTTTAAAAGATTGATTATTTATTTTTATTTATTTATTGATTGATTGATTATTTATTTATTTATTTATTTATTTATTTATTTATTTATTTATTTATTTATATATTCACTGTGTGGTGTGTGCATGGAAGCCAGAGGAGATCAGGCATCCTTCCAGGACCGTCTGCCATGTTGCTTCTCTCCGAACCCGGAGCTTGTTGTTTTGGCTTAGACTGGCTGGCCAGTGAGCTCCTGGGATCTGCCTATCTTTGTCCCCCCAGCCCTGGGCTACTGGTACAAGTGGCCATACCTAGCTTTTAGGTGGGTGCTGGAGATTTGTACTCAGGTCCTTATGTTTTGCAGCAAGATCTCTTACCTGATGAACCATTTCCCTAGACCTTGAGGTATGTTGATTTTCTTGTTCCATGAGGGTTATCATGAGTGCTTATCACTTAGCCCAGCAAGAAGTTGTCCAGGTTAACAATGAAATAGTTCAGTATAAAATAAAGTTGCTTTGGTTGGGTCTAGAAACATCCTTCCCAATTCCTCCAAATTTATTTATTTTTATTTTATATGTATGAGTGTTTTGCCTGCATGTAGGTAAGTGCACCCAGGTGTGCAGTGTTCCGGAGGCCAGAAGAGAGTATAAGATCCCTTGGAACTGGAGTTACAGATAGTTGTTAGCTACCATGTGGGTGCTGGGAATCAAACCTGGGTCTTCTGTAAGAGCAGCCAGTGCTCTTAACTGCTGAGCCACCTCTCCAGCCTGTATGCAGTTTTTTGTGCATGTTGCCTTTTCTGACAAGAATGGCTTTGTATAAGCCAGTGGAAAAGACCCAAAGGAGGGAATTGAAACCATCAGAAAATGTTGAAAACTTAGTTTATGGATTTTTTTTTTTTTGTCCACGGCTTGGCCTTTAGATTGGGAAATCACTTCAGACTATTAAAAACAGGATATGAGAGAGAAGACACAGGAGTGGAAGAATTTTTTTCTAACAATGATATGAAATATCATCTGCTGCCTTTGGGGATTGTATCCATGCTTGACACATCCACATGTGAACAGCACACTAATTGAATGAGTAGACCAACTGAATGACCTCTAGCTTGTAACATGATGGCGCTTGTCAATTGTGTTGAAAGAAATACCTAGAAAGTGCTATAGACCGCTGTGTTTGGACGACCTTCCCACTAATGATTCCAAAGCCTGGACTGATTCTGAAAATTCCAGGAGAATTGGCTGAGCTCTGTGCATTCACACTTGGGTCCTGAAAGATGAATGGGGTAAGTCTTGCTTCTTCCTGCAGAATGGCAGAATGCTGCCAACAGACAACATTGTCAGAGTTGCAAAGTGCCTCTGATGAAGCAGGAGGAGCCCAAACTTGCCTCTCCTTGTTCTGATGCTGGGCGAGATAATGAAGCAGTCTATAGAGGCATTGTTGTGTAATGAGGTTAACATAACATTATGGTGTGCTGATAGTTCCAGGAAAAGTAGCCAACAGCTTTTGGGCGTGATTTGGGAAATATGTGTGGGAAAAATAACCCAGTTGTGAGGTGATTATTGTTACCGTGTTCTGCATGCTTTGAGGGTGAGGGTCAGAGAAGAGGATTCATCCTGGCTCAGGGAAAAGGCTTAAACATGTTAGAGCTAGTGATGAAAAAGTCATTTGTGTTGCCAAAGACTGAAATGGAAAATCGTATCAAGGAAACATGGTTCTTCTTGCTTACAGCAGCAACCCCTTCAGGTTTCTGGAGCAAAATGACCTACTCAGCCAAATATTGAGAATCCATCTGCAGGAGCTCAGGATTTGGAGACTCCTTATTTAGGTATCCTTGAGAGCCATCAGGAGCATGCTTTAGCAAACGGACATATTTTCAAGAAAAAAAAATTAAAAAAAAACAAGAGATTGAGACTATAAACAGAATGCTTTTCTGATAATTTCACAATAGTTAAAGTGTATTGTTTCCAAAGCTAGAAAATGTGCCTCAGAGGTACAGAACTATATGATCTGTCGAGAAGAAATAAAAAGAAACCTGTGAGGATTAATCAAGCAAAATTGTAAGCAAGTACTTCTTCCTTGTTCTGACTGCTACACTATAGGATCAGTTAGGAAGTGACTGGAAGGGATCTGGGGATGTAGCTTAGTTGGTAGCATGCTTGCTTAACAGGAGCAAAGCTCTGGTTTTGGTGCCCAGCTCTGCATAAAACTTGGCATGGTGGCACAGGTCTATAATATCAACATTTAGGAGGTAGAGGCAGGAGGATCAGAGGGTCAAGATCATCCTTGGGTACCTATAGAACTTAAGGCAGCCTGGGATACATGAGACCTTGTCTAACATAAAAAGTAACTAGAAGGAACAGGGGCAAATATTTTCCTGGCTCTAGTATGTTGAGGGGTATCCATGGTTAACAAGGATAATTTGCTGAGCCAGACTTGTGGTACTGTAACTTGTTTCATCACCATAGCAACTTAAGGAGGTAAGTTTATCATCATCTCATCTTACAGATCAGGAAACTGGCAGGAAGTGGCAGAGATGAGGATTTGTCCATATCTTGAGCTGGAGCTAGAAACACTCTGCTCTTGCTGAAAGTGATTTCCCTAGCGAATGGAAAGAACCGGGGGCTGAAAGAGTAAAGCTAAGGAGCCAAGGTGCTAAGAGCTGTGGCCTTAGGGTGGTGGGAGAAGGAAAAGAAGATAGGGCATTTTTCAGACAGAGAGAAGAGGTTGGTGGAACTCTGCTGCTGTCTAAAGAAATGGTTCAGGGCAGATTTGGGCACACAAACTTGACTCCATAGGCCCTAACATGTGTGTAGAATGCATGAAATCATTCCAGGGCCTGGTGGGTACAGATAGGGGAGGGGGGGTCTAAATATGATCAAGTTGTATTATATGAAATGCATAAAAATTCAATAAAATTCAGGGACTGGAGAGATGGCTCAGTGGTTAAGAACACTGGTTGTTCTTGCAGAAGACCCGGGTTCAAATCCCAGCACCCACATGGCAGCTAACAACTGTCTGTAACTCCAGTTCCAGGGGATCTGACAGCCTCTTCTGTCCTCCATGGGCATTGCATGACACGGGTGCACTTACCTACATGCAGGCAGTACACACATACACATAAAATAAAGATAATAAATAAAATTTTAAAAATAAAAAATTCAAAAAATCTTTTTGATTTATTTTTACTTTATGTGTATAAATGTTTGGCCTGGATATAATGCACCACGTGTGTATAATGCCCACAGAGGCATCAAATCCCCTTGAACTGGAGTTAAGGATGGTTGTTAGCTGAAATGTGTATGCTGGGAACTGATCAGATCTTCTGCAAGAGCAGCCAGTATACTTAACTGCTAAGCTATCTTTCAGCTCCCAGGACAAAGATCTTTATTCCTCACTTGAGACTCAGGAGAGGTACTTAGGACAAACAGAGATCGAAGAAAAGGGAAAAGGACTGAATGTATTATAAGAGAAAGTTCATCTCAGTCCCTGGTCAATTTATTGAAGAAGGAAGAGTGCTCTGGGTTGAATGGATTTGCTGCTGATTCTGTCAAAACTACCCAACAGAGATAGATGGTCAACCCAAGGAGAGATGATGTGAGCACAGCACTTGAGTAAGGGGTAACATGGACTGATGGGGATTATGGAAAACTGAACCACATATCCCACATGTAAAAGACTATTGTAAAGCTTCAATTGATAAGAAAACGTTGGCCTAGCATTTCCAGAAAGCTAGAAAAATATATATATTTATGAAGGTTTTCATAATGTTAAATGTTGGCCATTCAAGTACATTAAAGTGGGCTGATCAAAATATTTGTGGGTGAAATTTGACCCACCAGTTACCAATTTTCTTAGGCTGTACCGGAAAAAACTGAGAAAGAAAATGAATGAAGAATCAACTTAGAGCTCAGTGGAGCATGCAGCAGTGTGCCGGGCACACAGACAGATGTTTAATTAGTTATCACTGAATAAAACTAATAGTGTGGATATATATATATATATATATATATATAAAGTGTAGAGGGTATGGTTTAAAAAATGTAACAATTAGAAGAAGAGGGAGGTTCTGGGGAAATGGCTCAGTAGGTAAGAGCACTTGCTTCAAGCATGAGGCCCGGAGTTCAAATCTCCAGCGTCTACATAAAAAGCACCTATAGTTGAGCACTATGGGGCATGGAGACAGGAGGATGGCTTGGGTTTGCTGCAACCAGCCTAGCTCCAGCCTCAGTGAGAGACCCCATTTCAAAGAAATAAGGCAGAGAGTGAAAAAGCAGAACACCCAATGTCCTCTTCTGGCCTGTGTGTGTGTACATGTGCATGCACACTCATACCCACATACATGTGTATACACGAGACACACATACACTCAAAAAATAAGAGGGAGGATAAAGCAAGAGATAATAAGGAATATATATTATAAATTAATGCAACATATTTATGTAAATGTGACTGACTTTGGAATGTAAAGAATTACTCTATGGACAAATTCTTTTTAAAAAATTATTATTTTTTATGTGTATGCATGCCTACATGCATGTAAGTGCACCCATGTTGTGCAACGCCCATGGAGGTCAGAAGAGAGTGTTGGATTTTCCTGGAACTGGAATTACAGATGGTTTTTAGCCACCATGTGGGTGCTGGGAATCAAATCCAGGTCCTTCTCAAGAGCAGCCAATGCTCTTAACGACTGAGCCAACTCTCCAGCCCTATGGACATATTCTTTAAATGTAAAATGCCCTTGGAGACCAAAAACTAAAGCTAGATAAGAAATGTTTTGGAAAATGAAACAAGCAAACGAAAAGAATCAGATATGAAAACTCTGAATTTGCAAAGCATTTAGGGTCGGTGGGAGCTTCGCACATTAAGATAGGCATCAGTCTATGAAGAAGGAGCCCCAAGCTGAGAGTTTGTTTTCAGAATCTAGAAGGCTTCATCTCCTAGCTCTGCGACTTTCCAGCTGTGCGAATTTCACCTTTCTGAGCCTCAGTTTCCTCTAGGCAAGTGGTGATGATAATTCACACACCGGAGGGGGTGCTGTGAGGATTAATTAAGACGAAGCCTGCAAAACACCCACGATAAACACTGCGTAAATGCTAGCTATTATCATAAAGTACTTGACAGGGGAGTCAAAGAGGAGAGAAGCTTAAAGCATCTCTATAATTACATGAATTGTGATGAAACAAGTTAAAAATCTCACTTGGTTTTCTTTTAAATTGGATTTCATAAGCTAAACATGATTCTCTGTGTATCAGAGAGCAGTTGCTAGGAGAAACTGGCAAAAGACCACAAAGTAGTGAGCTCAGCCATCGTTCCTAAAATAAATCTGAACGGAGATGGGAGGCTTTGGAAAGACTCATTATCAGAGGGAGAAAAACAACTTCCCAAATGGGCAGTGAGACAGGTGACAGGATGAAGGTGGGGGTGGAGAGGACAGCCTCAGAGGCAAGGAACATGGGGGGGGGGCGGCAGCAAAGCTATTGTAGAAAACAGTGGGGACCTCCTGCTAGGAATCACATACAGCTGCTCAAGGATTGTGCATTTGTGCATGTCAATGAGAACATCTAAGGCTCAATGTTGGAGAACTGTGGAAAAACCCGCAGACACGGTACTCACTTCCCAGGGGACACAAACATGGTCGCAGAAGAGACAGTGTGCATGATGGTTGGGTGCCCTGGTGGTGACGCCCACAAAGCAGGATTAGAATTTCTGACTGTTAGGACAAATTCTGTGAGTCAAACATGCTTGCCTCCCCAAGACTATTTCCTCATCTGAACAGCGCTCAGTGTAGATCTGTGAATGCCTGGTGCTGCATTGACAGGACTGTGGGAGAAATAGTGGGAGAGTTCAAGCATTTGTGTGACATTCTTATGCATTATGTCCATAAGAAGCATCCTGCTTAACTCATTTCTAGTGAAGGCGTCTTATTGCCTTTGGTGCCTCTGAACAAGTTTTAATAAGAGAAACACATACTTTATTTTTCCCCTAAGGAGGAATTTGTAGTTAATGTTATTCTTGACAGGCTTCCTAGAGGGTCACTAAGTGCCTAGGGGCATGCATTTTGCAGGGTTAGTTCCTTAGAAAGTAAAACATAACAATTTAAAATCTTCTGCTTGGGTTAATGGATTGGTGACCCAATTAAGTAGGAAGTGGATTGAAATTATGGAAATGTGATGGATAAGTCTCTTCTTGCAGCAAGAACTTCTATTTGCTTGTGTCTAGTGGCTGCTTTGCACATGCCTTAGTGGCAATGGGGAGGCAAAAATTTGGTGTCTGGGAAACACTTTTTGAAGTGCTTTTCCAACAGGATCATTGTATACGTCAAACTTTTAAAAATGAAGAATGGCCTATGAAATAGTTATAGCTCTGAGCCAGTTGAGTTCACTGTCCAGCAGCCACTTTGAGTCCTCGACCCCTTATTCTTCTGTGTATGTTATTTCTCCATATGGTCTTTGTAACACAGTCCAGACTAAGTGGCTGTTCGTTATATGCAGAGAAATATTGGACAAGTCTAACCCTGCCAAATTTTAATCTAACTTTCTCTCAAGAAAAATCACAAAATACCTTGTGTGGGGTCATATAGATGAGTTACACTGATAATAAACAGGGAGGCTTGTAAATATACATCTAATGACTTCCCTTAATTCATGCTATTAAGTAGATGTTCTAGAGGTTGCTAAATCAAAATGGTAAGTGCTTCAGCTGGTTAAACTCACAAAGTTTCTTAATAAAAAACAGATGGTGCCTGCTGACAGGCATGCTCGCCAAATGGCCTCTTCTAGCCCTTCTAGAACAAGGGGAGAAATTGGATGCAAGGATTCTAAACAAATTGCAGTTTAAAGCAAAACCCTAGGTAGCTCACCCATTCCAAAGCAGACACCAGACCCTTAAGTGTGTACTGAAAACTCAATTCATATGTGATCGTACCGCTTTAGCCAGCTTCACGCCATGCTCATAAGTGAGGGGCTTCTCCTTCATGTACAGGAGACGTGCCAAAGTTTTGGGATCGTCTCGGAGATCAATCTGGCAAAAAGATATATGCATTAAACTCATTTTCCTTTTCAGAACTTACCAGTTATTTTAAACTGAGACATAATAGAGTATTTTTTCCCCCAAACATCTTTGATGTTGTTAGATGTTCTTGAGAAAGCAATACAAATGCCCATGTTATGTCTGAAAGTGCAATGTGATTTCTTTGTACATGGATACACCATGGTATCTTTTTATACTTTTTTCTTCAAAGCAGTAACTCTGACTTCCTCCAATGAGCCTGTGCTGTCTGGTATTTTGAAATTTTATCATTGTTTCTAGACCTCACTGACGGGGCAGACACATGAATTATACTCTGCAGTGTGGATAAACAAGTTCTACCTTGTCTTTATAAACTATATCCTGCATCTGTCCATATGGTCTTTAGGAAACACTTTAATTTATGGTTTTAAAACTTGTCTTTGTCAAGTAGAAAGCAAAATGAGAACCAGAAAGATGCTACACAGGAAACAGATCACCATAAACCCCTGCAATGACATGGCCCTGTCTTCAGAACAGTAATGCAGGCTTTAAAAAAAGCAAAGAACTAAGTCCATTTAAGTTATGAATAGTTGGGACAGTCCTCAACTCATTTGTGCAACTGGATTATTGATGGACATTCAAATACGGAATTTGATTAGCTCCCAAACACTTTAGAAGACCTTGACAATTCAGGTATATAGATCTTGTATGTATATTTTAACTTCTTTTCTAAGATTTGAATGACCAAGGGATTAAAGAAAACACACAGAGTGTCATTAAGGAGCCTGTCATCATACACTCATTCTGACTGCTAGGGTCATTTTGACCCTCACACCTATTTTTGCTGTATTAAAACAATTGTGAATCTTAGCTTTAAGAGTATCAGCTAATATATGCAATTAATACTCTTTATTAACTGTTTTTAAAATTAATTTTTTTATTAAAAAATTGGAGAGATTTAAAAACTTATCTTTATTTTTTTACATGTATGAGTGTTTTGCCTGCATGTATGTTGTGCACCATGCACATGCAATACCCTTAGAGGCCACAAGAGGGCATTGGCTCCCTGGAACTAGAGTTACAGAGGGTTGTTAGCCAGCATGTGTGTGCTGGGATCCCAACCCAGTTACTTTGAAACAGCAGCCAGTGCTCTTTGCTGAGCCATATCTCTAGTCCCCTTGAGAGATTAATTTTAAAGGCCATACCAAAACATTCTGCTTCCTATTAAATAGCTCTCTGACTTTTTCAACTAAATATTCTTGCATGCCTTGAACATCTCTTCATGGATGCCATAAGTCTAAACTCTTCCATAAAGGTTGGTAGAATACAGTGTTCACTTTTCTTGCAGCCCAGCCCACCCTGCCATTGCCCGAATTTTAACCTGGGTCCCTATGAGGACGTAAGGCACATGAGGCATGCAGTCCTTCAGCTCCGGGACCCACTCCTCCTGAACATTGTGGTAAGAGGCAGGATTTACAACAGAGAAACAGATCAGAAAGACATCGGTGTTGGGGTAGGAGAGTGGCCTCAGTTGGTTGTAGTCCTCCTGCAGGAAGAGCAGAGGAGAGTTTGAGGAGAGTCTGCCTGGTTCTTGGGAGTGAGTGATACAGGGATGATTCCACCACAGCAGCTGGTGATCCACACCTTTTATTATGCACAGAGATTACATATTGCCCACATATCGGATCGACTTTAAAAAATTTAAACAACTTTATTGAGATATAATTTACATACCATAAAGTCATTTTTCATTCTAAAATTGTAGATTAGTTTTAGGTGCATACCATCATGCCACACACGGTCAAGGGAGTTAGTATACCCATCTCCTCCCACTAGCTATTCTTTTTAATGATGACAGTACCTGAAATCTACTTCATCAGAACATTTCTGGAATACCACATCACTACTGTTGAGTATAGTCCTCATGTTGAGCATAGTTGCTTTCTAGAATTATCCATCCAATCTAATGGTAACTCTGCTCTTGACCAGTGTCTCCCCACTTCCTGCCCCTTCTTGTCCCTGATAAAAACTACTCTCTTCTGCTTCTGTGTCTTCAGAAATTCATCCATGTAAAGAACATAATTAACAAAGATTATTGCAGCTCTCCTATGACACTGGATTGTGTGATCTGGAACATGGATTTAAGTTAGCAGGCAATTGGCCCACTGATCTTGTCTTAATTAAAAACTGTTTTCAAATTTAATATAAAGCTAACTAAAACACAAAGCAAAGAGTTGTTGCCAAATTGGAACCTACATTTTTTTTTGAAGAAATATGTTGAGTGGAGGTTTAGAACCAAGAATTTGGTATCTGTTCTTAAATTTACCTCAGTGCCATAGTGTGATCAGGTAAATAAAATGTCAGTTGTTTAAGTGCTGAGGAATTTTCAGATCTTTCAATTAAAAGTTATATATTTCAGTAGAATTTAGTAGCATATAGCTGATAGTAACATATGTGTAAATATACCCGTTATGTATTTGTCACATACAACACCACACATTACACTCATACATGCATACACAGTGCATTATACACATGCATAAGTTCTGAGTACATATATGCAAATGTAGAACACATGGTTGTTACCATCTTAACCAGAGTAACTGTGATTACCTATAGAAAACTTCCACAAGATCAGGTCTGTTGACCTCCAAATAAGAAACCTGCTTTTCTGTGGACATTTACTACAGTGGCTTTCATTAGAATCACATGGAGAGCCTTTAAAATATCCTGACACCTGCCAAGATTTAAAAGTGAAGCAACCCCAGGCTATCATCTATAACGTTCACAACACTGCCTATCATCTGTCACTTCATCATCCCACCTGGATTGTCATAAATGGATCAGGGATTAGGTTGATTTCTTTTCTCATCCCCCACTTATATTCTGTTCATATCATAGCAAATAGTCCCTGAACAATATTTTGCTTACTCTAAGGAGTGGGGTTTATAGTGTCCTCTCAATGAAAAACTGCCCCATACCCTCCCTTTTATTAGACAGATAAAATCATGATCTCTGGAGCATGGGCCTAGATATCTAGGAATCCTGTCTTGATAGATCTGAGTGGGTCTGGGGTTGAGAACAACTGATTTGCATGTAGTACCATCATATTTACCATCAATAGAGCTCGTGCCCAGGGCTCATTACCAAGGACTGGGCATTGTTTCAAGAAGTACATTCATTATAGCTTGGAATCCTCTTAATGGCACTAGAAAGATGATCCCATCAGCATCCTCACTTCATAGAAGAGGAAGTTAAATTTTAGGTCCATCATGGACCACTGCCACTAAGTTATCGGATACTAAGAGGAAGTATTTAGTGTGCATCCAGACCCAGCTCTTAATTGTAACCACGCTATTGCTGCATCTTATGATTTCAAATGATAGATAAAGCATTGTCTTAAACTTGACTGTTTAGGAATTAGGGTAGATCTGCGCAATGTTAGCCTGCAAGGTGTATTGTCTATTTGGTACCTGGCATGGGCTTCGAATTGCCACAAGATGGCAGCAGACACTGCATGTTTAAAACCTCAGTGTCTCAAACCCAAACAAAACAATTCCGATTAACATCGGAACTAGGCAAGGTAGTTTTAGGCAAATAACTGGTAGTCAGAAAGAATAATGTTTGGTTCTTGACCCAGTAGCTATCGAATAAATGCCGCTCAGATGTTGGCAAAGTCAGGTAAACCATCATTTGCTGACCTGACTGTGGGCAGGAAGGTGTGAGAGAAATGTGTTTCTAATCATTTGCCCTCCTGGCAAGGTAGCTCAGGCCTCCAGCAGAAGGATTGGTGTTTCAGGGTGCTCCACATTTTTCTTTTCTGTAGAAACCTTAGTCTTGCTGTGTAATTCAATTTAAATGATTGACTGCTCACCAGACACTAGCACTATTAAGGACGTGTTATGAACTATATAAGGTGACTGAGGATTGGGCAATCAAGTTAGAGTAGGAAAATGAAAATCCACTCAACAATTCCAAGTGTGTAAACTGAGACAGGTGAAGTTTCTCTTGCCCTTTTGTTAGCTACTCTGGTAAGATAAAAGAATCTGATGGAATTGGAAAAATATAATGTCAAGGCTAGAAAGTTTTTTAGATCTGAGTTACTGTGGTGGTTTCCAAAGTATGGTCCCCAGACCAGCAGTACCAGCATCACTTGAGAGCTTGTTAGGATGCACATCCTTAGGTGCCTGAAACTTAGCCCTGGGGGTATCTGAGCCCCATGTACCACAATCAGTCCTCCATGTGGTCCTGGTACAGTTCAAGTTTCAGAACCAAGGTTCTTGTTCCTTTTCCCCATGGTCAGTTTCAACAGAACTACAGAGCAAAAATACTTTCAAAGGCAGCTTACACCACGCTGGCAGAGGCTCACCACCCTTGGCTATGGCTAGGAAGCACGGTGGGGGTCCAGAATGAATAAAAAGGAAGTGTCCCTTGGGACTGGGGGCTGGGATGTGCAAGGAGGTTGGGGCTTTGAAGTCAATACCGGCTGATGACTTGGATGGTTTTTATGGTGGAGCACACTTTGACTTTAGGCTGTCTGATCACTAGTGAAGATGAGGTCAAGTGGCCCTGAGGAATGGTTGAGTGGTTCTGCTGGCACTGAGGCTTCTTCTAGTGTTGAGATTAACTTTGTAAATCAAATGTTTGTGTGCTTCTTGAAGAGACAGTGTTTTAATCTGTGAGCCACTAGACAAGGATTTGGAGGGCTAAAGTGAACAAAAAGGGGCTTGGGACAGGGTAGGCTTCTGAGTACTTGCCATCCAAAGGCAAGAGAGGGTTCAGTTTGCAGGTAGTCGGGTGGGGCACTATGGGTGTTTATTTTATAAATTCTGAGAAAGGCTCAACAGCAGATTGGTCAAACAGTTGAGCCCTAAATATGTCCAGGAACAGCTGCTACATGAAGAAGGGTGGTGGAGGTGGAGTCGTGAAACTATCAGATCAGCATTACAATATTTGAATCATGGGGGGACTGCCTTACACAGCAGTCAGTGGCAGGTATGGAGAGGAAATCTAGGATTTGCATTTCTAGAAAGTTGTCAGTAATGCTGTGCCTGCTGTTCAGGGGTTGCGCTTGGAGTAGTATGCAGAACTGCTGTGTGTGCCCCCACCGTGGGTCTCAGATTCACAAGAAATTGGGAATGGAATTCTGCTTCCCTTGCTTTTATGCTTTGTGAAACTTGCTCCAGGTTTTCCAGCCCTAGTCCTATTTTCATATTCTCCCAGGACTCAAGTTTATCTTGGAAAACATGGTAGGGTGGGAGCTCAGGATTGTGCCCAAGAGCATGATGGGTGGAGACAAATTCTCTGGGTTCATACCCCAAATCCCTTTCTGTGACTACTTACTACTTTGGGGTGGTTTGGGGTATGTTCTTTCTGTAAAATGTAAAGTGCTGGGCTCAGGGCTGGAGAGATGGATGGCTCAGTGGTTAAGAGCACTGGCTGTTCTTGCAGAAGACCTGGGTTTGAATCCCAGCACCCACATGTTAGCTAACAACTGTCTGGAACTCTAGGGGATCCAATGCCCTCTTCTGTCCTCTGTGGACATTGCATGACATGGGTGCACTTACACACATGCAGGCATAACACTCATACACATAAAATAAAATGAATAAAAAATAGTGCTGGGCTCCCATGGGTGTTGTGAGAATACAATGTTTTCATGTCTGTAGACGCCTTGGAATGATGTTTTGAACATAGTAAGCACTTTAATGATGGAGCAAAAGAGTCTATCCTTCATCTAATGTCAGCAACAGCTGCAGTTTTTGGAGCCCAATCGATTCCCTACCCTAAATGGGCTGACTCTGAAATTAACTTTTCTGAACTGAGTGGTAATGAGATCCAAATGTTTGTAGACCCTGATTGTATCTCTTTTTTTTTTCCAGCATCTACTAGTTTATTTTATAGTCCCAAACTAGTAACCACAGGCATTTGATATTAAGGTCCACATTATGATAAACATGTCAGCTGTAATATCTCTTGGTCAATGTCCTTTATTTCCATTTTTCATAAGAGGTAAGTCTGGATCCTTAGGTTACTTTGACTGTGGGTAGGCTTCTTAATTCTCCAAACTACATACTCCTAGAAACCACACTGAGATGCATGGGATGAGAAAATTTGGTTCTTACTTGAGGGAATACATTTGTTCTGAGGTTTTAGGCAAACTTTCCATAGAGTGTTGGTGCCAGACCCTGTGCTCCAGATGGCCCCATTGGCTTAGCCAATAGCAAAGAGGAAGGTCTGTGCGCATCCAAGTGGACTCAAGGTTGCCAGTAATGAGCCCCAGCTGTACTTACCTCCTGCCTGTTCACATGTTTTTTCAGCCCTTATGGGAAACAGGAGCTTTAGATATCAGATCCTGGTGAAGATGTGTACCCTGCAGTCCCGGGTAAGTGAAGCTTTTCTGTTCCCACAGTCACTGGTGGAAGCTGAGCTTCTGTGGGCTGTGGTTTGTCAGTGACAGACACCATCTTGTGCTCACATAACATGCAGGCAGCCCCAAGTCTTGGGGGCTCATGTGCAGGGGATTCAGAGGCTCATCTTGCTGAGAAACTGGTGCCTGGTTAGGCTGACAGTAGGCTGCTCCTGGCTCCTGACAGGAAGTTTGTTCCTCCCTGGCAGTGCTGCTGACTGCCACTTCTGCCAGTGCTTGGCCTGAGATATATCTTCCCTAGAACTTAGCCCGAGATACCACAATCTGATTGGCTTTGCTCTTATCACTTGTCTGGGTGAAGAGCCACTGAAAGGGAGGTCAAGATGCTTCACCACTGTGGCTGTTCCACTCTAGTCTGGAAGGATACCTGGCTCTGAGCTTTGGCCTGGGAAACCCCTTTCCCATTCTGGTGTTCCCCAGCGGTGAGTGCTCAGACTTTGCTGAAGACTTTTCACTAGAAGCATCCTGCTTTCCATTTGATCTCCCATGATGCACTCTAAACAAGCCACGAACAAGCCAGCCAGCATAGTGGACATCGTGAAGAGCTTGGACTCCCTTTAGCTGAGCCAGAGAACCAAGCTCTGGGAGCCACTTTCAGAGACTGAGCAATGTCTGACAAGGGGGCATGTGCTATAAGGGATGAGTGGGCCTGACCTAAATAGACTAAACTGGAGGATTGGCCCTATTGTTTGCTGGGTGATCTGAGTTAATCCCTTACTTCCTTGTCTAGCCTAAGGTTTGGAATTCCACCCAACAGACAAACCCAAGTTCTGAAGAGTTTTTATCTCCAAAGGACTCCACTCACAGGCCAAACGTTAGTTTGTCTCAGGGGCCTGGGGAGGGAGCCAATATTTAATAACAGCTTCCATGTGCCGGCAGTGTACATATGTGACTTCATTAGAAACCATCTTTAGAAATGCAGGTCTGAGCCGTGAAGGGGCATGAGTCTTTTGAGCCTGATCTTGCAGCAGCAGCCATGCTGGAGGCAGACTGGTACCCTAAGATAGTGGGTACCCAGTTGGCGTTGAGGGTAGCGATAAGGAGTTTCTTTCACTTGATCTTTCAGAATACATTTGCTGCTTAAGTTTTTCCCCTCAGCTCTGACCCACAGTTAGCTCAAGACAAAGAAAAAAGCACTTCTCTTTGGCTTATTCATGTAAGAAAATCTATTTAATCAAGATAGAATCTGATAGCTGGATTTATAGACATTTTTTTCCCTTTGTGTGTGTGTGTGTGTGTGTGTGTGTGTGTGTATGTGTGTGTGTGTTTCAAGGATTATCTATTTGTTTTTAGATCATGTTTCTTTTCTCATTAGTAATTGACAGAATGAGTAAGTTTAAATGAGTTATAAGTCTTCCTCAGCCATGTGACTTCAGCAACATTTATTAGAATGTAGCCAAGGAGGGGTGGAATAGCCTACTGAGGATGGGGAATGGAACTTTTGGGACAATGGTTCTTAGCAAAATTTGTTGTGAAGACTTTTTGGCTAGTTTGTAGACCCACAGGAAACATGAGTTAAAGATTATTTTCTGGTGAATCTTTTTATATTTTATTATTTTTATTTTATGTGTATGAGTGTATTGCCTGTATGTATGTGAGCGCACACGTGCCGTGCAATGCCGCAGAGGTCAGAAGAGTGCTTCGGATTCCCCTAGAACTGGAGTTAAGGATGGTTTGTAGTTGCCATGTGACTTGAACCCGGGTCCTCTGCAGGAGCAGTCAGTGCTCTTAACCGATGAGCCATCTCTCTAGCCCCTTAAATGGGAAATAGCCATTTTTTTTTTTTCGGAGCTGAGGACCGAACCCAGGGCCTTGCACTTGCTAGGCGAGTGCTCTACCACTTAGCTAAATCCCCAACCCAAAACTTTTTCTTTTTTTTGAGACAGGGTCTCCCTGTAGCCCCAGCTGGCCTGGAATTTGCTATGAAGACCAGGCTGGTTTCGAACTCACAGAGATCCACCTGCCTCTGCCTTCAGAGTGCTGGGATTAAAGGCATGGGCCACCACACCCAGCTAGCATCTAAACTGGCGAATCTTTTTAATGTTGGGACAGTGCTTCAACCACCAAACTTCTAGAGTAGCATATCTCAGTGTGCACACAAATCACCTGAGCTTTAAAAAATTTTTTTTGTGTGTATATACTTACTGGTGTGAGTGTGCATCTCCTCAGCCCTTGTCTTTGGCTTTTAAAAGTAACATTTCATTCATTGAATTGGGGCTTGGGTGTAAGAGCTTGCATTCCTTTTTGCTGTTTTGTTGAGACAGGGTCTCATGTAGCCTGGGTTGGCTTTGAACTTCCTTTGAGGATGACTTTGAACTTCTGATCCTTCCACCTCCACCTCCACCTCCACCTCCACCTCCAAGTAGAATTTGTGTTTCTAAGCTGCTCTGGGGCAGTACCGATGTTGCTGGTCAGTGGGTAATACTTTAAAGACAATTCACTTCTAGAGCAGAGGCCCTCAAAGTATGCTGTACAGATCAGCAGCAACTCAGGAAATTTGTCAGAAGTATGAATTCTTAGGACCCATCCTGGAGCTTTAGAAGCCTGGGACTCCATAAGTGGTTCTTAGCAGGCTCTACAGGTGGTCCTGACACATGCTTAATTTTGATAACCACTGTTCCAGAACATGAACGATACATTAGTCTTTAATGGAGCACATCCCTCTATTTAAAAATCTTTCACCACTGGGCTGGAGAGATGGCTCAGCGGTTAAGAACACTGACTGTTCTTGCAGAAGACCCAGGTTCGAATCCCAGCACCCACATGGCAGCTAACAACTGGAGTCTACAACTCCAGTTCCAGGGGATCCGACAATCTCTTCTGTCCTCCGCAGGCAGTGCACGACATGGGTGTACTTACCTTACATGCGGGCAATACATGCATACACATAAAATAAAAGTAATAAATAAAACATTAAAAAAAAGCAACCTTTCACTGCTGAAAGCCCTCCCTTGGCTCTTCCCTCAGGAAAAATAAAAATGCTTTTGATTAATTACTCCAGTCCTTTTAGGGGTTCTTGAAATTATCTTTTTAAAGTTCTTAATCATGGAATCTGAGGCCCAGAGGAATCTTCAGATGTGTTCTGATTCCTTTCCCCTATGTTTCAAGCTCTCTTGTGAACCTTGTATTCCTCTGGAGCTTTTAATAAGAGGTGGAAAGCATTAAAGTGAAAGTTAAGAAGCAGCTAGAGTCGATTTATTTGTCATATTTTACAGCATTTCTTACTGCTGTGTTAGGGGTGTTTCTCCCCCTCCCCTGACTCTGCTTCAATTTGAAGTTTAAAGGCATTTTCATGACATGATCACATCTGCTCATACTGTATTATTATTACTATTTTTAATTTGAGGAGCAGAATAGTGGGAAAGAACAACCAAACTCTCCAAGAATTTTTATTGGATTTGAAGTTAAAAAGGCCTAGGGACATTGCTCTTAGGGCAGCTTCCAGAGCTTTCTGAGAAGGCAACAGAGGGGTTTCAGAATTGAGATAGAATCCCTGCTGCATTGAACTTTGCAAACAAGATTGCATTCACAAAATTTGACTTTAGACACTATGAGGTTATGATGAATGGAGACACCCCAGTGATCATGTGGGCTAGATTATATTGAGTCAGATTGGCAACTCCAGCCCCCAAATCTGTGTATCTAATTTGCTGGGATGTTTTCTGGTGAAATTTCTGAGCTGTACTTCCATATATCAAAAGAGCTAAATAGATTTTCTCCTTTGACCACCTAATGGGACATTTTTTCCCCCTAGTTATATCTCTTGCTATTGATGGGAGGTCACTGTCAGTCCCTGGTTCTGACAGTGGCTTGTCAAAACAGTCCATGAGAAGAAACTGAATGTTTGTAGGAAGGACCATTGAATCCGATGCTAGAAAATTCAGGATCCCTGCTCCAGCCTGTACAAAACCAGCTTTTGATGTCTCACATACACTTGTCAGTAGTTCTTGCAAAAGCACACAGAAAACCTCAAAGATATTCCATTTATTTATTTTCTAGTAGGGAGCTTTGAAGTTGAGCAAAATGACATATCTCCAGATAGTTGTGAAAAAAAGGCTTGGGTAAATGCACAAGTATTAACAGTTACCAGGAAACTCACAGTGGGAAATACCACAATCAAATGTTCACTGCAAAGGACTTAAGCTGTATGAATTTGGACCGACTGAACAACCCACTGATTTTGACCTAAATAAATGATTCAAGACATGTGGTAAGAAGTTGGATCCAAGAAAGTAGGCCACAGTCATCAGTTGCTTAACCACATCTCCTCCTCCTAGTCTGTGGACTTATAATATCAGAAGTATCCCACAGCCCTGTGTGAAGTGCTGGGACAGGCAGCTATGGGGCATTATCACCTGAGTACAGCTATATGCTGGGTAACTTTTGAGGATTCAAGTTTAAGACCTTAAGCTATTGGTTGGCTGGGCTCTCCAACATGAAGAAACACTTGCGGCAGAATAAGAATATTTGAAGAAGAACTTTAGAAAATTTAGAGACAACGCCCAGTGGTTTGGGGTTGACCTTCATTTATAGAACAGATCCAGAACTCTTGTTTTCACAAAACTTAATCCATTATATCCCTTCTTCCTTCCCCTCCAATCTCCCTTTGAACCTTTCACAGCTCATTAGGCAAATAAAGGCTGGGCAAGGAAAATAACACACAAGAAGGGTAAAACTAAAATTTATAAAGTAGACTCATAAATTTTACGTGTGGATTAGGTTTGGGTTGGAGGAAATTGAAACTCTTAGTCATTAATGGTTTGCCAGCCAATGAATGAATCATTATCAATATCTTGGATAGTGATTTAGTCTTTTGTAGTTATAAGCTTTTTAAAGTATTAAGAATATGCATTTGGTTGTCATTTAGGTAGATAATAAAATGGGCCCCAAATGATCAGAATGGGAAATGTCTGTGCTGTTAGTCCCTATATGCCTAGCCAAATGGACCATTCTTCAATACCCCCTTCCACAACCCCTAATGAGTCAAGAGAGTAAAAATGTACCTGTCCTGCGGTGTCATACAGTCCGAGTAAGTGTTGTTTGCCTCCCACTGTCACAGTAACTAGGGGAGAAGAGAAAAGGAGAATTCGTGAACACAGGCTTCAACCAGAAGGCTTCACATTTCTCATGCCAGTAGCTCTCTGGGCAGTGAGAATAAACATATGCCTCACCCATGTATATTCTAAACCAAGTTGACAGCTTAGTTTCCAAATGAAAGGCAATCTTGAGCTGGAGTGACAGCAGATGGTCTGAGCCAAGTCCAAATTTCTCAATGGTGATGAATATTTTCAGTGTTACTAGAGCACTCTGAAGGCTGCTTGGTGACCTTTAGTGGGCTCTGTAATACCAAACTCCTGAAGAAAATGGATGCCAGATCCTTTTCTGGCTAGGTTATCATCTTCTTTGTTTTGAGTTACCTTTCAGGATACAAAATTATGAAAAAGGTTTATCATTTATTTCAAAATATTTTCCAATTAAATATATACCTGATTAAAAGCACAAGGAAAATTACTGGGCCAATTCCTTATGGTTTTTGAACCCTGGTTGTAAAAGGAGGTGCTATTTGAGTATGTGGTTTTAGGTATGTAGTTTCATGTAGCTACAGGGCTCATGGAGAGGGGAAAGTAGCCGGTTAGATTTACCCAGCAGGCTCTCTGTCTTGCCAAGTCATTGTGATCCAAAGTGAGAAGTAATGAGGGATACCAACCACTTTGCACATGTCTGGAAATGCGAAGAACTCTCAAGTTGAAACGAAACTGAGATTGAACAGATTGAATGCAGAGGAGGGGTGGATATGATTCTCTTGGTGAATAGAAAGAGCAAATTTAAATTTCCTGAAAAATTGACTCTCTTTTGGGAAATAGGGACTCAAATATGCAGGAAGGTTTTTTTTTTTTTTTTTTTTTTTTTTTTTTTTTTTTTTTTTTTTTTAAAAAAAAAAAAAAAAAAAAAAAAAAAAAGAGGACGATAAATCTCGCCTCGTTGATTAGAAAATGTGCAATCACCACGTGAAGGCAAGTTTTGATTCCCTCTGTTATCAGCTGGGCAGGAAACGGAGGCTAACTGAGTAGCAACCTTTTAGAACCATATCTTCTACATATGTCAGCCAGCTTCTCTAGTTGACTGCTCAGAGTTGCTGATTTGATACTAATTTTTACTTTGATTTATTTTCAAGTTCACGAATGACATGTATGCAAAAACATTTCTTAATGTCATTCTTTGAAAAGTACTTGTTTAAAAACACTGCCACCTCAGACACTGGGAACTGTTTTCTAATCTGTTCAGATTCACATATGTTCAGGCTGATAACATGACTGCAGCAGATGTGCTTCTAAATGTGTTTTGAAATGGCAAGCCAAGCCCAGCTCCATCTCACCTGGATTGTGATGCTGACTGAGGGAGTAAGAGGGAGGTGCATTTAAGCATTTTAACTTTTGCTCCTAAGTTAGGCTCTGGAATAGAAGTGTCCAGAGAAGACAGTCACAGATCTTTGTCCTGTTTATTTCCCTCTTCGTGTACATTGGAAGAAGAGAGCCTGGTCCAATGTTCCTGAAATCTGCCTAAATGGTTCCTTTAATGACCAAGTGGTCACCTAGTCATGGATCAGGAATGAATGGAAGAAATCCAGCCATTACAGCATGGAATTTCCTGCCTGTAGTGAGCCCAGGACATGTAGGTCAGGGCAGCTGTTCCTGGGATCCTGCAGACTGCTCCCTGACCTACAGGCTCAGGGTCACTATGGGGGCTCACACAAGAAGCTGAGCCATCCCTGTAGCCCCACTGGGTACGGCAAGCATTCCTCAGCAATGACTCTGACCCTTGTCAATGGAGCCTTGAAGGCCCAGCTCCTATTTTCTCTGTTTTCTTAGAGAACAGTTATTCCCTCCAGCCTGTCTTCTCTCAGACCTCACCCTTTCCTTCTTGGCAGTTTGGACTCCAGGGAGTTTTACCAGGCCTAAGCCAAGTGTGAACTATAGAAGTTTAAACCAGGATCTGGGAGTCTGGGCACCTCTTTCCCCTGCTGTCTTTGCCTTTTTCAGGGACCTGTGGGCATCCTGAAGTGAACTTAGTGTTAGAAGTAGAAAGACCATCACAGTTCTGTACAGAGCCTGGAGGCAAGGGTTTAACCACAAAGCATAGTGTAGCAGTACAGTATACGCTGCCAGGACAGCATGGAGGGATGGGGACACTGCTGAGTGCTGAGTATGCATGCATTTGGTTGGAGAAGGTGGAGATGTTTGAGCTGAGTCCCCAAGGAAGCCTTTGAATTTCCCAGGTTCCTCTGGCTTCCCAACTCGGCCTTTATTTTGAAGGCTTTGTCAATATCTTAAAGTCTTTTCCCTCACAAAATGGAAAGAGAAGGAATGAAGAGATTTTCCTTGGGTTAAGGCAAAATGTCGGGGTCGGGGAAGATGCTATTGGTGTGAAAGCCACACTGAGTTGCTGTTGGGAGTGGTACACACTGCCTGAGGTGAGGCCAGGCCAGCTGGAGGAATGCTAAAAGAAAGGCCAGAGCTCCTGTCCCTCTCTTTGAGAGGTGCTTTAGTTTCTTTTTCTCGTTCCATACTCCCATTCTATTGGAAGGAAGATAAATGGATAACTGCTTATGCTAGAGGATATTAAGGGACTGCCAGAGAAAGATGTAGTGGTTATACTAGATATGACTTTGGGTTCTTATCCTTGACTAGCAGTGGATGTTTTATTGTTTGCCAACCTGTGTCCCACAAGGCTCCTCAACTCAGAAAGGAGTCAGTCACAATGACACAGAGGGAAGGTGCTGCCACCAAATGCTAACCATTCACATAAAGAGGTCCCAGCAGTGTCTTTCACCCCAGACAGCTCTGCCTTGAATTCTGTCTTTGCTGTTCACCATCTGAATGACCTTGGGAAGGTTACAGCATCTCTGAGCACTGTGTTCCTTTTCTGTTAAAAATAAGGATCATACCAGGACCCACATAGTGGAAGGAGAGAACCAACTCCTGCAGGTTGTTCTCTGACCTCCACATGTGTGCTGTGGCATGTTCCCCACCCTAAATAAGTAGAATAAAAATGGGGGATCACAGAGTACATAAGAGAGAGAATGAAATGAGGAAATATCTGGCCCCGATCCTGGTCAAAATAGGCACGGAGCAAATGTATTCAACAAGTTATTTCGTCCATTCTGAGGACAAGGGTCAGTCTATCTTTTTCCACTGACTACCTTGTTCATAGTTCTTAATGGTGAACTACTGGTCACTTTTCACTCCAAATGATAGCTGTTTAAACCTGTCTTATGTTCTCCTTGAGGGCAAAGTCTCCACACCCAACATGCCTCATCCTATAAGCACAGATTCTGCTATATGAGGTAGATGAATATTTAGGACAGAAACTAGCATTAGGGTCCACTCAGGGAGACAAAGTTCCTTGGGATCATACAAGGCTTTAGTTTGATCCTCCTTGGCTAGACACTGATTGCAAAGCTGCCAGGCAGACCACAGCCAAGCTAATGTTCCAGATCACCTTCTATTCTGGGAGCTTTTAGAATTGGTTCTGAACTTAGAGAGGTTTTAAAGAGAGTGGGTCAAATGACCTGCTAATAGTTCAGTCAGTGCTTTCAATAAAGTGTGAAAAGTTGTCCATGACCTATTAAGTAGGTAAAATGAAGATCTTCCTCAAATCCATTAAACTCTTTACTTCGCATTGCTCCTTGGAGTGAATTGGAGTGGTTAATTTCTTGAGGCGTGCAAGCTAGGTCATAAGTTTTCTCTCTTGAGCATCATTAACTTTCCCCAGAGAGAAAATATCCCAGGCAGAACGTAAGTCTCCTTCCCTCAGCATTTCAGCCATCTTAAAACTGTGCCGTCTGTGAACCCATAAGCCCTCCAGTCATCAGTCTAGACATGAATAACGTGAGGAAATGGCTTCAAAGCCACTTCCTTGTTAGGTGGTCGCTTTCTCAGAGGCTCAAAGTATTTTTTGAAGTCACTGTGATGAAGACATGATAAATCTTATGAATTGTAACAGTGAAAATGTCAGGTCAGTGAAAAGGAAGTCCTTGTGCCCTTCAGTGCACAGCCATCTGTCTACATCACTTAGGTCTAGTGTGCTCAATCAGTGGATAGGATGAAGGCTGGCTGTGTGGTGGGGGTAGCATCACAAAGGTCCTATTTTGGAAGAAGAAGTACTAGCTTTTAGATCTGACAAGAAATAGAATTTTTAAAAAGTTAAACACATGGCTCTCTGTACATGTCAAAGATTTATGAACCCATTAATGAGTGAGCTGGCCAGATGGTAACCCATGTCCAAGGAGCACTTTGAGGAGGTAGGCCTTTGTAAAAAGCAATGCTAGAATCAAGAGATTAGATTTCAGTGGAAACTGGTACATGCTTATAATCCCAGAACTGGGCAGGCTGAAGCAGGAGGATCAAGAGTTCAAGGCTAGCCTGTCCTATACAGCAGGATCTTGACTAAAAAACACCCCCAAACAATACCCTCGCCCTCCCCAAAGGCTACTTGGGCATGTTTGCATCTATTCCAAACCTTCTAAACGTGTGTGCACATTTTACTAAATTCAGAGGAACCATTTATAAAATCCTCTGAAAAAAATCTGTTAGAAAGCAGTTTCTGTTGTTAAAAATAAATAAATAAAAAAGAAAACAGTTACTCTGAAGATAGAAACAAGCCCCGATTTCCTAAATACGAATGCTGACACATTCCTCTGGGAGAGTCTGTCCTTCTAGTGCCTGTCTGTCTCTTGATGCACTTGAACCCCTTTCTCTCACTTGCACCAGCCTCAACACCTTAATTCCTTCCTTACAAGAGTCTCTCTTGTAACCAGCGCATCAGGCTGCATGTGTGTGTGTGAAACAAAGTTACTCAGGAAGGCCATGACATGTTGGCATGAGGGGAAAACCCAATAGGCTTTCTGAGAATTCACTGGGATTCCGAGCAGAGGGCTTTGTTTGTTTTCTTTTCTTTTCCTCTTTTCATTTCCTTTTTCTTTTATTTTTCTTCTTTCCCCTTCTCCCACTCTTTAGACGGGGTGTCATGTAGTCCAGAATGCCCTTCAACTTACTCTGTAGC